AGATGAGGAAGGCTTCTGTCTACGGGAGAGATGAGGAAGGCTTCTGTCTACGTGGGAGAGATGAGGAAGGCTTCTGTCTACGTGGGAGAGATGAGGGAGGCTTCTGTCTACGTGGGAGAGATGAGGAGGCTTCTTTCCACGGGGAGAGATGAGGGCTTCTGTCCACGTGGGAGAGATGAGGGAGGCTTCTGTCTGAGAGATGAGGGAGGCTTCTGTCTACGTGGAGATGAGGAAGGCTCTCACGTGGGAGAGATGAGGGAGGCTTCTGTCCACGTGAGGAGAGAGTGGGAGTTCTTCTGCCCGGACAGAGAGGAAGGCTTCTGTCTACGTGGGACGATGAGGAGTGTCTACGTGGGGAGGGAAGCTTCTGTCTGCGTGGGACAGATGAGGGAGGCTTCTGTCTACGTGGGAGAGATGGGAAGGTTTGTCTACGTGGGACAGATGAGGAGGCTTCTGTCTACGTGGGAGAGATAAGGAGGCTTCTGTCTATGTGGGAGAGATATGGGAGGCTTCTGTCTACGTGGGAGAGATGAGGAAGGCTTCTGTCTACGTGGGAGAGATGAGGGAGGCTTCTGTCTACGTGGGAGAGATGAGGGAGGCTTCTGTCTACGTGGGAGAGATGAGGAAGGCTTCTGTCTCGTGGGAGAGATGAGGGAGGCTTCTGTCTACGTGGAGAGATGAGGAGGCTTCCTGTCCGTGGGACAGATGAGGAAGGCTTCTGTCTACGTGGGACAGATGAGGAGGAGGCTTCTGTCTACGTGGGAGAGATGGGGAAGGCTTCTGTCTACGTGGGACAGATGAGGGAGACGGTTGTTTCAAGCTAGAGACAAAATTTACCTTTAAGACAAATGGAACAAAATCTAACACAAGAAAATATTGTTCATAGGTCTGCGATGACCAGAGAGAAGCAGCAATCACGAGTAAAGGAAAATATTGACTCACCAATGGAAAAATGAACAGCATTCATTAGCGGAGAAAGTAATTTTAATTCGTGAGTTTTAAATCAGTGATGAAGTTTAATACGTGAATAAATATATTTTGCATACAAGGAAGTTTGAGCTACTTGGTCACGGTGGTAGGTTGGTCAGAGAGCGTCAGCTACAATAAGGCTCAGTTATAATAATTTCTTATACAACGGGGTCCAAACACACACACACACACACACACACACACACACACACACACACACACACACACACACACACACACACACACACACACACACACACACACACAGTAGGGCAAGAGACCAGCCCCTGTCATCAACTGTAAACTATAATTTATATATTCATGTTCTCCTTTTAGTAATGAAAGCTTTTGTTAAACGACCCACCCACCCACCCCATGTCTGTACTAAGCCATTTCTGTCCAATGTATATTTTCACCCTTGTGGCTGCTAAACTTTTCAATAAACAGTTAATTATATATTTATTATTATTATTATTATTAGATATTATTATTATTATTATTATTATTATTATTATTATTATTATTGATATTATTATTATTATTATTATTATTATTATTATTATTATTATTATTATTACACACGCAGGGTTGGGTGGGTGCTAGGAGAGGGGGCTGTGTACACGAGGTAGGGAAAAGGGGGCTGCGTGTACACTATAGGGGAAGGGGCTGCGTGTACACGAGGTGGGGAGGGTGGGGCTGCGTGTACACGAGGTAGGGGAAGGGGCTGCGTGTACACGAGTAGAGGGTAGGGGCTGCGTGTACACGAGGTAGGGGAGGAGGGGCTACGTGTACACGAGGTAGGAGGGTAGGGGCTGCGTGCACGAGGCAGGGAGGGTGAGCTGGTGTACACGAGGCAGGAGGGTAGGGGGCTGTGTGTACACGAGGTAGGGAGGGTAGGGGGCTGCGTGTACACGAGGTAGGGAGGGTAGGCTGGGTGTGTACACGAGGTAGGAGGAGGGGGCCGTGTGCACGAGGCAGGAGGGTAGGGGGCTGCGTACGAGGTAGGAGGGTAGGTGGCTGCGTGTACACAAGGTAGGAGGGGGGGACGGTGTACACAAGAGGGAAGGGGTCATGTAGACAGCACAGTAAACCGCCACACCCGGGGAGGCAAGGTAATCTTCCACCGTGAAGAAGTCTGGGGCTTTTATTTTCCCTCGTGATCATTATCTCTCCACTGTCTGTCTGTCTGTCTGCCTGTCTCTATTTTCTGACGTGCTACCATACACACACACACACACACACACACAGGTCCCAAAACTGTACTACCCCAACCAACCTAACCTAACCTAATCTAACGCTGGACTGTAAAGAACAGATTAGTACAGATTTACTTCAACAGATTAAAATAAGAATTGGTGTTTCGAAGCTTCGGTCACGGTCAGGTTGGTACTGTACCGACTCATATAGCACGTTCGGCCTTCACCTGTGTGGGTTCAGTTACGGGAGATGAACCACTTCACAAGTTGCCATGGATGTAGGCTATGTTGTGTTGTCAGTTGCCATGGATGTAGGCTATGTTGTGTTGTCAGTTGCCATGGATGTAGCTGTTTATGTCGTCAGTTGCCATGGATGTAGGCTATGTTGTGTTGTCAGTTGCGGATGTAGGCTATGTTGTGTCGTCAGTTGCCATGGATGTAGGCTATGTTGTGTTGTCAGTTGCCGCGGATGTAGGCTATGTTGTGTTGTCAGTTGCCATGATGTAGGCTATGTTGTGTTGTCAGTTGCCATGGATGTAGGCTATGTTGTGTTGTTTAGGCTGTAGGATGTAGGCTATGTTGTGGTTAGTTGCCGCGGATGTAGGCTATGTTGTGTTGTCAGTTGCCATGGATGTAGGCTATGTTGTGTTGTCAGTTGCCATGGATGTAGGCTATGTTGTGTTGTTCAGTTGCCATGGATGTAGGCTATGTTGTGTTGTCAGTTGCCATGGATGTAGGCTATGTTGTGTTGTCAGTTGCCATGGATGTAGGCTATGTTGTGTCGTCAGCGCCATGGATGTAGGCTATGTTGTGTCGTCAGTTGCCATGGATGTAGGCTACGTTGTGTTGTCAGTTGCCATGGATGTAGGCTATGTTGTGTTGTCAGTTGCCATGGATGTAGGCTATGTTGTGTTGTCAGTTGCCATGGATGGTATGGTGTTGTGTTGTCAGTTGCCATGGATGTAGGCTATGTTGTGTTGTCAGTTGCCATGATGTAGGCTATGTTGTGTCGTCAGTCGCCATGGATGATAGTTACGTACTCACAGTTGCCATGGATGATAGCACGCACTCACAGTTGCCATGGATGATATACGTACTCACAGTTGCCATGATGATAGTTACGTACTCACAGATGCTATGGATGATAGTTACGTACTCACAGTTGCCATGGATGATAGTTACGTACTCACAGTTGCCATGGATGATAGTTACGTACTCACAGTTGCCATGGATGATAGTTACGTACTCACAGTTGCCATGGATGATAGTTACGTACTCACAGTTGCCATGGATGATAGTTACGTACTCACAGTTGCCATGGATGATAGTTACGTACTCACAGCCGCTTAATTGATAGTTGCGCACTCCACAGTTGCTGGATGATAGTTACGTACTACAGTTGCCGCGGAGGTTACGTACTCACAGTTGCCATGGATGATAGTTACGTACCACAGTTGCCATGGATGATAGTTACGTACTACAGTTGCCATGGATGATAGTTACGTACTCACAGTTGCCATGGATGATAGTTACGTACTCACAGTTGCCATGGATGATAGTTACGTACTCACAGTTGCCATGGATGAGGACTAATAGAAATACATCATAAATCTCAATGTCTTAAAAAATGAACTTGAAGAAGACTGATAAAAAAATTACGACTAAACTTCAGGAAAACTTAGGTCAGGATTTGAACTTTAGAGCAAATTATGATGAACCTGATGTGAACTTAGAGAATAAATTATTTTGAACTTTTGATAAGGTCAAGATTTTTATTTTTGTATTTTGTTACGTTTAACTGACTTTTTCAAACAGTTAATTTTGTATGTAGATAAAAAAAATACAGCTAAATACAATCTGGATAAATATGGAGAAAACTTATATTCATCTTTATTTATTATTTACCAGTCAAGTTATTTTATTAGTTTCATATCATATTCTTCCATCTACTTACTTGTTTATTTTATTCTCTCTCTCTCTCACACACACACACACACACACACACACACACACACACACACACACACACACACACACACACACACTCATTCGTTAATATGAGAGAAGAAGCAGAAGCAGAAGCAGGAGCAGAAGCAGGTATTTCAGTGCTGAAGGTATGAGATAAGAGGCGAATGAACTTAACACACCACAATACAGACCAATGTTCATGTGTGCTCACAAGCCCTGAGTGAACACGAGGGGGAGGAGGAGGAGGGAGAGGAGGAGGAGGAGGAGGAGGAGGAGGAGCAGGAGGAGGAGGAGAGGAGGAGGAGGAGGAGGGGAGGAGGGAGGAGGAGGAGCAGGAGGAGGAGCAGGAGGAGGAGGAGGAGAGGAGGGAGGAGGAGAGGAGGAGGAGGAGGAGGAGGAGGAGGAGGAGGAGCAGGAGGAGGAAGAAGGGGAGGAGGGAAGAATGGAGAGGTGTTCATAACGAGTAACACATAACACACACAGCTGGGACAAGGTTGACGGAACACCAAACGGAACAGTAAGTGGTGGGAGGGAGGGACGTGGCGATGTAGGGTGGGAGGGGGCGAGAGGAAGGGTGAGAGGTGGAGGGAGAGGAGTGGAGGTTAGGTTAGGTTAGGTTAGGTTAGGTTAGGTTAGGTTATATACCTGTTATCCCACCTAAGCTAGACACACCCTCTCAAAGGTCGGTGTTTCCCCAGTAAAAATAAAAAAAAAATAATCTTCAAAAATTTCTCCAGCGTGAGGAAGACTTTAACTAACACACACCAAGCCTCACCGTCCACACACAATGGCGCGACACTCAACGAAATGGTAAGTAATTTTTCCAGACAACATTCTCGAGGCCAACAATAACTCCGCAATCAGTTTTCACACAGGAAATTTGCATAAGAAAAACCCCAGACAGTCCAGGTCATGTTGGGCGGGATATAACTGAGTACCGTTACCCGAGTCCATGTTCATACCTGACTCTATCTCCATACCTGACTCTGCCTTCATACCTGACTCTGCCTCCGCTACCTGACTCCTGCCTCCAGCCTGACTCCTGCCCCATACCCGATTCCCACCTCCATACCTGACCTGCCCATACCTGACTCCTGCCCCACCTGACCTGCCACCTGACTCCGCCTTCATACCTGACTCCGCCTCCATACCTGACTCTGCCTTCATACCTGACTCCGCCTCCATACCTGACTCTGCCTCCATACCTGACTCCGCCTCCATACCTGACTCTACCTCCATACCTGACTCTGCCTTCATACCTGACTCTGCCTTCATACCTGACTCCGCCCCCATACCTGACTCTACCTCCATACCTGACTCTGCCCCCATACCTGACTCTGCCTCCATACCTGACTCTGCTCCATACCTGACTCAGGCTCACACGTTCATAACTGACTCATCCTCACACCTGACTGCCTGGAGAACATTTAAGGTCCAGTGACTTGGGAACATAATTATCTCGGAGCCACATTTAACTCACGACACCCTGATGGATTATTCTCAGTGGTTAGGTTAGGTTAGGTTAGGTTAGGTTAGGTTAGGTTAGGTTAGGTTAGGTTGATTTTTCTCTAAGTTGCAATTGATGATGTGAAGGAGAATCATATTAGTTTTAATTAAGATATAATACATAAAGACCAGGTTGCTCATCTGACTTTCTGCCTCATTTGAACACAATTGCTGGGTCTCAATTGTTTCTCACTACTGATTTTTTTTCTTTATAGTTCTTTATTATTATTACTATTATTATTAGTGTTATTATTATTATTATTGTTATCATTATTATTTTATTATATTTTGTATTTTAGATTTTATTTACTCTGAATAATTATTACATTATCGCCCCCGAGGCCCCGATGTGGGTCAGTGACCTGTGCCTGGATCGGCTAATCCCCGTAAAAAAATAAAAAAACTTAAATAAATAAATAAAAATCCAACTCATCTAACTGGCTATGTGAGAACGAATCTGCCTCACTTAACCTCCAACACAGAGACACCTTCACACAGATTCACATAGCTTCACATAGATCACATAGATTCACACAGATTCACATAGCTTCACATACTGTAGACCATATAGGTTCACATAGTTTCACACAGATTCACATAGATCACATAGTTTCACACAGATTCACATATAGCTTCCACATAGATCATATAGCTTCACACAGATTCATATAGCTTCACATAGAATTTATAAAGCCACACATCTCATAGGTTCACACAGATTCACATAGCTTCACATAGCTTCACATAGGTTCACACAGATTCACATAGCTTCACATAGCTTTACATAGGTTCACACAGATTCACATAGCTTCACATAGCTTCACATAGGTTCACACAGATTCACATAGCTTCACATAGGTTCACACAGATTCACATAGCTTCACATAGATCACAAAGATTCACACAGATTCACATAGCTTTACATAGGTTCACACAGATTCACATAGCTTCACATAGGTTCACACAGATTCACATAGCTTTACATAGGTTCACACAGATTCACATAGATTGTCAACAGCCCCAACAACCTTTCAACTGGTGAGACGAGGGTGCAAGCATTTAACTGGCTCACTTAGCCTGAGAGAGACAGATTCTCCAAGGCCTGCCACACACACACACACACACACACACACACACACACACACACACACACACACACAGAATTCTGAGCAGCGGCTGAAATAACAACATGAGGTGAGATTAATTACCATAACGGAATCACTTCAGGGGTTGAGAGAAAGTGTGTGTGTTTGTGTGTGTGTGTGTGTGTGTGTGTGTGTGTGTGTGTGTGTAAAAAAAACAGCCATAAACCCAAAATTTATCCAAAAAATCATATGAACAAAACACAAAGAGACAAATGTTGAAAAAAAAACACTTAAAGAAAGAGGCTGAATGTAATCTAAACATAAAAACAAAGAAACAAACACATAAACAAACAAGGGTTACACAAATAAGAGGAAAAAAACAAAATGTAAACACACAATCCCCAATTATTTAATAAACAAACAATCTACCTGGAAAATAAACACCAACAAACAAACAAACAAACAAATAAAAGGAATAACAAAGCCAAATCAAAAATTAAACAGAAAAATCACACAGGCAACAAACAAAAAATAAACAGGAAAGCAAACAAAAACACCAAAACAAAAACACTAAAGAAAAAAACACCAAACAAAAACACCAAAACAAAAACACCAAACAAAAACACCAAACAAAACACTCAAACAAAACACTAAAAAAACAAAAAAAAACACCAAACAAAAAAACAAACACTAAGATTTAAACAGGAAACCACACAAAACACAAAACCAAAATCAATTAAAAACAATAAACGAACAAGTTCCAAAGTGAAACAGCTTCGAACGGACGGAGGAGGAGGAGGAGGCGGAGGCGGCGGAGGCACTGGTGTTATTCACGGCGGAAGGAATGCCGAGGGTGGAGACAGGGTTGATGGCCGGCAAAACATGGAGTGGACGGTTCATGAATCGCAAATGGCGCCAAGTGCAGGTAATTGAGGGCTCAGCGCACCTAGCTACCTGTGGGAGGGCCTTCACACCCTTTGTTGTGTATCCATTTACTTGTGCCTGACACCACTACCTCAACAACAACGACAACAACAAAAATAATAATAATAACAATAATAATAACAGCAACAACATCAACAACAACAACAACAAGAATAACAAGAATAACAATAATAATAATAATAATAATAATAATAATAATAATAATAATAATAATAGTAATAGTAATAATAATAATAATAACAACATCAACAACAATAACAACAACAACAATAACAATAATAATAACAGCAACAACATCAACAACAATAACAACAACAACAATAACAATAATAATAATAATAATAATAATAATAATAATAATAGTAATAGTAATAATAATAATAGTAATAGTAATAATAATAATAACAACAACATCAACAACAACAACAACAAGAATAACAATAATAATAACAGCAACAACAAGAATAACAATAATAATAACAACAACATCAACAATAACAATAATAATAACAGCAACAACAACAACAAGAATAACAATAATAATAATAATAATAATAATAATAATAATAATAATAATAATAATAATAACAGCAACAACATCAACAACAACAACAACAACCACATCATCAACAACAACAACAACATCATCAACAACAACAACAACAACAACAACAACAACAACAAAACAACAACAACAATAATAATAATAACAGCAACAACATCAACAACAACAACAACAAGAATAACAATAATAATAACAGCAACAACAACAACAACAACAAGAATAACAATAATAATAACAACAACATCAACAATAACAATAATAATAACATCAACAACAACAACAAGAATAACAATAATAATAATAATAATAATAATAATAATAATAATAATAATAATAATAACAGCAACAACATCAACAACAACATCAACAACAACAACAACAACCACAATAATAATAATAATAATAATAATAATAATAACAACAACAGCAACAGCAATAATAATAACAATAATAATAATAATAATAATAATAATAATTAATAATAATAATAATAACAATTCAGTAAAACCATCATACAAGTTTACTAAAAGTTTAACATGAACAGGATATAGACAACGCAGGTATACAGTGTGCCTAGACAGTGCAGGTGTACAGCAATGGTATACAGTAAAGCAAGTCCACCATAGATAACTAATAAAGTTATCAGATGCTTAGTTCCAGCATATCTCTCTCTCGGTGAGTATATCAACAAAGGATCTTGTCTAGGTAGTACCAAATTATCATGATTCAATCTGCCAGAATAGCGTATCTCCATCCTCCCTCTTTCCTCCCTCTTCACCCTCCTTCCCATCCCTCCTCACCCCCCCCCCACCAGACATACCGTATACGTCCATGCTAAAACTGCGGATTTAGGTTAGGTTAGGTTAGGTTAGGATAGGTTAGGTTAGGTTTAGGGAGCGTACGTTACATTACGTTAGGTTAGGTTTAGGGAGCGTACGTTACATTACGTTACGTTAGGTTAGATTTCGTATCCGGGTTCGGGTATTTAGTGAGTCCCGCCAGCAACAAGAGGTGGTGTGGGAATATGACCTCACTCAAGTATTCCACGATGGTCACCCGCAGCGGCTGCACCGTACTCAGTTCTCACGACTAGGGTGCTGACAGTGACCGTTTCTTACTCTAGACATCTGACATAGACCACATTTTAAGTATAAATCCCTAACACTGTCTAACTCTGCCCTCATATCTCTGACAGTGACCATTTCTAATATCTCTAACATGGAATTTTTCTCGACAAAACCAAGACATTTGTTATTTTTAACTTTATATTACTAAAGCTGGACATTTTTAACTTCAAATTGCTGATATTTTTTTAACTTACAGTAACTAAGAGGCTGGCAGTACTGTATAGGGGTCAGTAGCACTGTATAGGGGTTGGTAGTACTGTATAGGGGTTGGTAGTACTGTATAGGGGTTGGTAGTACTGTATAGGGGTTGGTAAGGCTATATAGGGGTTGGTAGTACTGTATAGGGGTTGGTAAGGCTATATAGGGGTTGGTAGTACTGTATAGGGGTTGATAGCACTGTATAGAAGTTGGTAGTACTGTATATGGGTTGGTAGTACTGTATAGGGGTTGGTAGTACTGTATAGGGGTTGGTAGTACTGTATAGGGGTTGGTAGTACTGTATAGGGGTTGGTAGTACTGTATAGGGGTTGGTAAGGCTATATAGGGGTTGGTAGTACTGTATAGGGGTTGGTAGTACTGTATAGGGGTTGGTAGTACTTTATAGGAGTTGATAGCACTGTATAGGGGTTGATAGCAGTGTGTTTACTCAATATTCATACTTCCCAAGCTCACCTGTGCCTCCCCTACCTGGTCTTCCTCCCTAAATGCCACACAACGTAAACACCTAAAAAAAGTGCAAAAGAGGGCATGCAAGATTATTCTCTCCCCTTCCTACTCCACATATCAAGAAGGGCTCAACACACTGACCCTCTCGGCTCTCACTGACCATCACCACGACTTCATCAGCAAATTTGGTGAGAAGCTTCTGCACCATCCTCGACACCGGCTCCTACTACCACCTGAGATCCCTCGCCCGAGAATTGCTATTAGACACCACAACCGCATCCAGCCCATACGTGCACGAACTGATCTCTATAAGAACAGATCTCCCAGACTTTTTACACACTCAGCCCACTGTCCTGATGGGTGACCTGAATACTAGACATTAGAAACGGTATTGGGATATATATATATATATATATATATATATATATATATATATATATATATATATATATA